TTACAGTTCTGCCCAGCACTCACACCTGCTGTCAGCACTGGATCCGCTCACACCCACTGCCGATACAAGAGCCGTCACTCACACTGACTGCTGGCGCCGGGCCCGCTCATACCCATAGCCAGAGCTAGAGCTGCCAGTTGCATCCAATGCTGGCGCCGGCCCCAATCGTTCCTCACTGTCAGTGGGAGCGAGTCGGCCCAGCGCCATCAGCGTGTGGGAGTGGGGTTGCCAGCAGACAGAGGACTGGGGGCCACAGTGAGAGGAGCCAGGCTGGGGCGCAGAGGATGGGCTGAGACCTGCCCCTGAGCTGACTGCAGCCTTGCGGCTCACAGTTCCTTTCAAGGTGCATGAATTCCTCCACTGTGCCCCTAGTCCTATATAATAAAGAGGTAATATGCAAATTGACCATCACTCCAACAAACAAGATGGATGCCCCCATGTGGACACAAGATGGATGCCACAAGATGGCCAGCAGGGGATGGCATTGGGAGAAACCAGGCCTGCAAGGGAGGGTAGTTGGGGATGATCAGGCCAGAAGGGGAGGGATGTTGGGGGCAACCAAATCTTCAGGAGAGGGCAGTGATGGACGACCAGACCTGCAGGGGTAAGCAATTGGGGGCAACCAGGCCTGCAGGGGAAAGCAATTAGGGACGACCAGACCGGCAGGGGAGGGCAGTTGGGGGCGACCAGGCCAGCAAGGAAGAGCAGTTAAGGCTGACCAGGCCTGCAGGGGAGAGCAGTTGGGGATGACCAGGCCTGCAGGAGGGGGCAGTAAGGGGTGACCAGGCCAGAAGTGGAGGGCACTTAGGGGCAACCAGGCCTGCAGGGGAGGGCAGTTGGGAGGGACCAGGCCTGCAGGGGAGGGGAGTTGGGGGCAACCAAGGCTGCAGGGGAGGGAAGTTAGGGGTGACCAGACTGGCAGGGGAGAGCAGTTAGGGGAAACTAGGCTGGCAAGGGAGGGCAGTTAGGGGTGGTCAGGCCAGCAGGGGAGGGCAGTTAGGGGCAATCAGGTTGGCAGGGGAGCAGTTAGGCATCAATCAGGTTGGCAGTGGAGTGGTTAGGGCAGCTGTGGGTAAACTACGGCCTGCGGGCCGGATCCGGCCCATTTGAAATGAATAAAACTAAAAAAAAAAAAGACCATACCCTTTTATGTAATGATGTTTACTTTAAATTTATATTAGTTCACACAAACACTCCATCCATGCTTTTGTTCCGGCCCTCCGGTCCAGTTTAAGAACCCATTGTGGCCCTCGAGTCAAAAAGTTTGCCCACCCCTGGGTTAGGAGGTGATCAGGCTGGCAGGCAGATGCAGTTAAGGGCAATCAGGCAGGCAGGCAGGTGAATAGTTGAAAGCCAGCTGCCCTGGATTGTGAGAGGGATGTCCGACTTCCTGTTTAGGCCTGATCCCAGCAAGATTGGACTTAAATGAGCAGTCGTTCATCCCTCGAGAGGTCCCTGATTGGAGCGGGTGGAGGCTGGGCTAAGGACACACATCCCACCCATGCATAAATTTCATGCACTGGGCTTCTAGTCCTATCTAATAAAAGAGAAACATGGTAATTAGCGTACGACCGCTACCCTTCCCATTGGCTAATCAGGGCGATATGCAAATTAATTGCCAACAAAGATGGCGGTTAACTTTTAAAAAA